ACAAATTGTTCCATAATAAAGAGGTAATGTTTTAATGTAGGCTATAAATAGGTTCCTGTTATAAGCTCGTATTGCTTCCGGTATCCGGGATACGTTCCACGGAACAGCAGAAGAACAAGGATTTGATGACTGGAAATTTGTAGACTGTCTTTTTAAGGTAAACATTTTTTATCATTAAAATATTACATTTTTATGTATGATAGTTTTTTTGTTTGCGTTGTTTTATATTTTTTGAAGTTTGCTATGGAGGTAACTGTTGTGAGTATTGATTGATATTCAAGTTCAAGCTTTCGTAAACTCCGTAAACATTAGTTTTAATCAAATGTCAAATATATTTTGCAAACTTATCAAATGGTAAGTAATCCATTCAAAACCATACGTCACTCTGAGTTCAAGTTTGATTTATATATTATATTTAAAAAAAAAAAAAATTAATAAATGTTAAAACGAATTCTGTTGCCGACAACAGAAAAATAATCAGCTAATAATATTATTAATTAATTAAAATCTAACAGTGCCCTCCAGTATATGGAAGATAAATTGGCTCTCCTCCGAACGGCGTCATAATATTTTGGCGGCCATAAAATATCCAAAAATATCTGTACATTGCTCAGTTCTATTTAAAATATGCCGGCTCCGTATAACGAAACAAATGCTCTAACAGGGACTCCGCGATATGTTACTTGCAAACCTGTTTCTGTGACTGTGCCTCACCGCTGACCGTATACCCTACGCGCGGCGCAGATGGGGGCTTAACTAGATGGCTGGGACTCACGAGCAGCAGCTACCGTATCTCCTGCAACTTCCTCCAACTAATTTGCTTGTGAGTCCCAGGCACCTAGTTTAGCACCCCATCCGCGCCGCGCGTAGGGGACACGCTCGGCGGTAAGTTTAATTGCGTTTTGCGCATGCCGAAAAGTGTGAGAATACAGGTCGGCAGGTCTGACATCTACTGCTGCTAAATCCTCAATCGGACGAACAATATTGCTAATCTGCGCGGGAGTGCGTGGTCTACCTACCATATCGCTTTCATCGTCTGTACTGTCTCAAAATTGTCAACGGTCGCTAATATCGTCTACTAGTATCGTCTGCAGAAACGCTCAAAATTGTCAACGGTCGGTATTATCGTCTGCTACTACCGTGTGCAATGTTGATAATGTCAAGTAATCCTAGTTTTGCCGTGATGTGTTTTTTGGCAGAGAGCCTGAGCCTCATTTGGATATTTTATGGCCGCCATAATATTATGACGCCGTTCGGAGGAGAGCCGATAAATTTCTTCTTATCAGTTGTTGAGTTAGCTTTAAACTTCTGGGCTATCCTCCAAATAACGGTCCTAAATTATCGAGGCGGAAAATATACCCTAACAGGGCCTCAGTCACATGTCAGTTGCGCACTTCGGACGACTTCCGCGACCGCCGAGAGTATCCCCCCATGCCGCTCACACGGCGAGGATTGGGGCTAAATTAGATGGCTGGGAGTCACGAGCAGTAGCTACCGCATCTCCTGCAGCTTTCTTCATTTTATTTGCTCGTGAGTCCCAGTTATCTAGTTTAGCCGCGCCTTGCGTAGCGACACGGGCATACTCTTGGCCGTGAAAACTGCGTTACCAATGCGGCACCGATCATATTTAGCCGAGTTTCAATTTTGCCATAGCCACAAAGAGCAGATTTTCGGGCACAATTTGCAACTTCTGTGCCACTATTTTCATAAATAAAGGCCTCAATTATCACTAAATAGCGATTTAGTCATTTTCCCTTTTTTTTCATTCCTCATTATTTTTAAGTTTAAGTTTTTAAATGTTTACAACACACAACCTAATGAGGCCCTGTCAGGGTGTGTTTTTGTCCGCCATAATGTGTGGCTGTTATTTGAAGGATAGCTGACACTCCTTTATAATATTATAGTAGGCCTTAAGTTGTTGTGATTCAAGTCTCTTATGATATGAATGTCATTAGTAATCATAAATGGACAGCCTGTACAGTTCCTCAAGGACACTTCTCATACCACACCAGCCTATGGTACAAGGAGGCTTTCCACACCTTCAGGTGTTTTGGGCATGTAGGGTTAGACCTGTATTCTATAGACTAATCAGCACTCAGTAGGGTATTTTGTCAAAAGGTTATATTGTCAGAATCCCTCCAGCTGCCTTTACTTCCCATTACTATACCTGGCACCCACTCAAGGCTAGGCTGACCTGGGAACCAGGGTCAGTTTTGAAAAAAGTGAGGACCGGAATCCAAGATCTTCAATCCGCAGGCGAGCATCTAGCTGCTGTAGCACCGCAGTTCCCCTCAGCTTAGGTGCTAAACCATAATTTTATGAGAGTTTGTGTAAAATATTCTTTAAAAAAAATAATATCTTGGTGTCATTTTATAATTTTGTTAAAAATCTGTTTTGGCCATTCCTATTCTTCTTCTTCGCGTTCACCAGCTGTAAACTCTGGCGGAAGGTTCTGGTTGCTCGTCCACTACTGAACTGCAGTCCTGCTCCAGAAGCTGAGTGTTGCGTGTGCATCAGTTTTACAGATCTCATTCTCTTGAATACAGACTGTTGGTTCCTTGCCTCTCCGGCGGATGCACTCCGACTTCAAAGGAAGCTCCCCAATTAGTCGACTCTTACGACATGCTTTTGGGGAGGCAGTGGGTCTATTCTTGTTTTCCCCACAATGGGGCCCCGGAAACCACACGGGGGATTCCTATTCTCTTTTTGATTTCAATTTTACTTCTGTTTTCCCATGAATTTATGTGTCCAAGATAATAGAAGCTTGTTACTTGTCTTGTATCTCTTTTTACTGTGGTGTGCATTGCTGATCTCTCATTTTTATAGTTAATCATTAAAATGCTGTGGCTGATTATTTTTAGGACATATTATGAGGAGAAAAAAAAAATTAATGACTGTTGGCAAAAAACTTAGAAGAGTTAATAAAAAAAACCCAGACAGATACAATCCTGGATTACTTACTTCCATAAATCTAAAATGTAGTCTGTAAAAAAAAAAAAAAAAAAAAAGTGCACGCAAAATAAAATGACAGCATTGGTGGTCCTGAAATCTTCTGCTGTAATTGTGAAAGACTTTTTCTTTATCCCTGTCATGAGAAGCAGTGAACCTAGACTCTTTCAGTGTTTCAATCCCGTAGATCCCACTTTACCAAAATTTCAGCTATAGCCCATCCTGGAGACGTCTAGTTAATGGCATTGGGTTCTGAGATCCCACTTAACCAGCATTTCAGATATCGCCCATTCTGGAGAAGTCTAGTTAATGGCATTGGGTTCTCTTTGCATCTATGCAATAATAGGGAAACCCAAATATGCTCTATATATATTAAAAGTAGACATAATAGGTTTTCTTTAAAACAAGCTGGCTGTTTCAAAGCCATTTCGACATCATAATTTAATTAGTCCATATCTCTAGTTACAATTCTTATGGTGTCACAGTATGTGTCACCCCGATGCATTTTTTAAGACCGAGAGGAGTGTATTCCATTAAATGCTTCATTCCGTTCGTATTTATTGATTACTCACTTTATAAATTGAAAATGCAGGCATTAAATCTTTAAAGAAATGTGTTAGTGACCTGTTTAAAATGCTTTTTTTTTTTTGGAAACAGAATTGGGTTTGGTAATTCTTAGGTTACTGACTTGTTTGTAACGCTTTTCCATGGTAAAAGAGTTAACGCGAGCAGTTCTTGCTAATCAGTTGCCATCGTCACGGGCTGTGATTGCCATGTCTTCCTCTGGCACTACTTAACACTATTGTCTGGTCAGATCAAAAGGTGCCAACCTTAGCTCCATAGCAAAATGCCTCACAAATACCCCCGTCCCCTAGTTGAGTTGAGCTGAGTCAAGAATTGAAATCACAGCACTCAGGGCATTCCCATATGCGCTCTGCCCCTATCTTCAGCAGCCAGCGTGCCCCTATCTTCAGCAGCCAGCGTAGAGTACCAATATTATTGGTACCCGTTGAAGTCTTGTTATATGTCCATGATGTATAAAAGCAAGGAGAATAGAAAGGCAGAATGGTGGACGGACCTGCATGCCTAATTCCTAACCCTTTGAAAATGAAGTTTGTTCATTTGTTTGTTCTGTCTTGCCTCTCCTCTAAGTAGTGAGCCGACCAAACCCTCTGGTCACAGACATTTTCATCATTCTCTTTAGGCCATAATAATACAGTTTCTCCTCTGACTTCATTACTTGTTTCCAAAGTGCACTCACCACATCTATCTTGTCATGTATCAGTTCACTACCCGCTGGTGCTGATACGGTCAATCTGTCCGCCTGTTCATTCCCCACCACACTGGCATAGCCTGGAAAAAAGATCCAACCGAGTGAAAATTGCCACTCTGCTCGAAGCAATCCTGACTTCAACTTTCTCAACATGCTTTCAGTCTGTTAAAATGATGGCATGTGATGCATCTTGTTCTTTGGCCACCAAAAAGCTGCAATGACCTCATCCACCTCCATTCTCCTGCTAGATGTTGTGGTACCATATGCTAGGATGTCCTGTACCTAAGATTTTCCATTGGCTTTCACTAGGCACTTCTCTGTCCTCTTAACAAAGAACCACCTGTGTAGATAATCAGATCATCTGGATGAGAATTATCATGAATCAACTGTTGGACTTCCACCTCCACAGCCCCCACTGGCCAGTCTCTGCACTTCCGGACTAATGTGATCATGACCCTAAACAGGTCAGATGGTCAGGCTTTTCCTCTAGTACTCTAACCCACTCCTTTCCTCGCCCAGTGGTCTCCAGCATGGATACTTTTGCCTTATTGTATCTTCTGCTTTAGCCCCCTGTCCCCTAAAAAAGGGGTAGATTATCCTTGTTCTCTAGCTACTCTGCAATAAGTACATGCATACAAGTCACACATGAGTAGTCATGCAACAGATAAACAAATATATACATGTATATTTTTTTTTTAATTTCTAGAATTACAAGAGTATGGGAGTGCCAACAAATATGAGTGGAGAGGAACAGAATCAAGTGAATGGAAAAGAAGAAATGGAACCTTCATTTAGTAATGTACAAGCTGAAGGACAGACATTTCAGAATATAAAAGTAGCTCGTCATCAGTCCTGCGTCCATCAGAGTCAGTCTCCTGGAGCGGTTTCACACCTTGTAGCATCAGCTTCATCTCCTTCTTTGTTGTCAGGATGTAGCGATTCCTCCACACCAACAGGAGCTAGCATAGAGAAGCACATTCATGCACACCATGTCCAGGTTACAGATGCTCCATTACTGTGTCAAACAGAAGTGGCTTCCAATCAGACGTCTTTCCCATCATCACCGTTACCCTTGCCTGAAGGAGATCCCCCGGCTTCTGTCTTTTTGACCCCATCCTCATCTCGTCACTCACATGGCAGACCAGTCAGTGCACCTCCTCACCATTTAGAAAGGATATCAGGGATGTTACTGAGACTTGTGGGTGACCATTATTTGTGTACAACATGTGGCAGGCAGCTGCGTGGCATTGGTGATGAACTTACTCTCGAGACAAGTCTTCATCGTATTCTCAGCTCTCATGATCTCAGTGATATAGCCAGATTTACAGATAGTTAGTTTTACTGTATTTCTTGTTGATGACATGAAAGTGTGTATGTATATTTGTATAGAGAGAGAGACGGAGGAAGCACTTGATTTTTACCTGCTCTGTGCAGTCCTCTAATGTGGAGCTTTGGGTGAAACTAAAAAATTCCAGTGAATCAAATGATAAAAATAATAAAACACACATTAAGGAAAACCTTGTAACAGCAAAACTAGAATGTCTTTGCACCTGAACCCACAAGGTCAGAGGAATAAAGGCAGGAAAAAAAAAACATGTGGAGAAGAGAATTAGTGAATGGAGTGAAAAGATTAGGAGAGCTGCAAGCATTAGCAAAAAACAAGATGATGGCACGAGTTGGCTAAGGACCATACCCTCTTTGGGGGTAAAGAAAACAAAGAAGCTGCGTGCAACCAACTTCGTAAATTGTCTGCGACTTAGGTGTGGCAAACATGCTTTGTAATTCTGAGGTGGTGGATTCAATTCCAGCTGTGGGTGATTTGACAGCAAACCGACATGATTTTGTTTCGACGGTGGTTTCGAGAGCTGGCTGTTAAGGAGCATGGCAAACAACTTTGTGTAAACATTGCCTTGTGAAGTAACAAACAGCCAAAAAATGCTGGGGTTGGTTCTGCAATGTCCTTTAAAGGATACACAGCTAACTCTTAACTCCACTGCTATTTTACTTTATTCTTTGCACATAGACTTTTAAATAGACAATGCATTTATTGTCTGTTAAGCCACTTTGTTGTGGTCAATTATACCAGTAGACTACATACCCTATCCTAGCTAATGATTTTTTTCATCCAAGACAGTTCTTGCCTTCTAAGTTGCTACTCTGATTTATGTAGTTTCACATGGATCTTCATTGTCATGGGTGTTACTGACTTCTGTAAGGGATCAGGCTTTTCCACATCTTGTGATTTCCAAATCTGTTCATGTGTTGATAGCGATCCTATCAAATGTGTTGACAAAATGCTGTCTTGAATTTAATGTTTTTCGTCTCTTTTTTAAGTCTGTGATTGCCACACATGTTGCAGTATTTATTATTTCTGTGTAGTAGTGAAAATGAAGGAATATAATGTTCATATTTTATTGTTAATATTTTACATGAGTGCATGTGTATAAATTTAGGAAGTGTTAAACTATTTAAGGCAAAACACACTCACATGGTTATATGGCAGTGTGATGTCAAAGGCAGCAGAAAGATGTCCCTTAAAGACTAAGTCAGAGTAATATATTTTTTTAAAATAACTTATTACCATTGAACGATACATTTTCCTCTTTAAGTCAAAAAATGTTTAGAAAATTGTTGAATAATTAATTTTAATGATGCTCATATGTGCTATATAATAATTATGTTGACAAGCCTCATATATTTTGTATATTGTGCCATATTGCGTTGACTCGTGCCATAAAAATCTTCTAAGATATACCTTATAATAATCTTTTTCACCTGATGAGTTTAAAAAAAAAAAACCTGTGCACTGGCTTGTATATTAGCTCATATACATATCATTAATAGTAGTAAGTATACAGAAGATACACTGTTTTTGCAGACAATATCTGCAACATATTGTGGGTGTCAAGAGTCGTTCAGAGATAGTTAAGGAAAAAAAAATAAACATGACTAATATTTTTATAAGCTGTTGCTAAGTTAGCATTGTTAAACTCCTCCTTAACCTACCTCTGACCTTCACTTAAATACATCAACTGTAGGTCTGTGATGGACTTGAGGTGTGTACTTTAAATAATATGATAAATTTTTTGTTTTTTAAGGTTGAGAAAGGGGGGGGGGGCAGAACGATGTCCTTTGAGGAATAAATCAGACTATCTTGCAGTCCTATGGAAAGTAAATTATTTTTGGTTTCACCAAGATTTCATCAAAAATGTAACAACATTTTGTTGAATAATTAATTGTCATGTTAATTTTTATGTTTTGTGCACACTTTTGAAAAATGTGCCAAATAGATCTTGTAAAATTTGCCTTAAATTATTATTTGTTAGCTGTTTAAGATTACTTCAACATTACTGGTTAGTGTATAGGCTGAATCAATTTGCTACAGGTTGAACCAATGCATTAGCTTAATTATTTTTCCTGGCAATTACAATAATTTTTCCTGTAAGCAACAGTGGATAGTGTTACACATAAAGTTATGAGATTTCTCAGGGATGTAAAATCTAACAAGCCTTTTTGCATGCCTTTTTGTCATGAAAATATTTGTTACAGCTCACGTTTTTTTTTTTTTTAAATAGGAGAAAGGTGCCGGTACTCACCATTAGGTGTTTAAAGAAGATGCCAGTAGTCACCACAAAGTGTCTGTTACAGTAGTGCTGAAAAAAATTGATGCCTCAAAAGGTGCCTGTTTTGTGTCCCATCAGAAAAAAAAATCCTGCAGCTGACAGGCCTAGTGCTGGTTATGTCACTAACTGTATGCCAGTTTGTCCTGAAAATATAAATTTACAGCTGGCTAGTTTTTTTCTAGAAAAAAGATGGCCAGTGCAATCTATAAAGTGTCTTTAAAAAAAAAAAAGATGCGGTTCACAGCACACAGTAGTGTTTCTGTGTACCACCAGAAAAAAAAAAAAAGAAGAAGCGCAGCAGATGATAGAAAGTATTTTTAACCCACTGACTACCCAGCCCTTTAACCCTTGCACCTTCCCAGATACCACGTGTTAGTGTCTACTAAAAATGCCATAGCTTCAAAACTATGTGACATAAACAAATAATATTTTGTATTTTTACACCAAATTGAAAAAGAACAAATCTCAGGAATAAAAACTGCATAATCTTGTTCGACATCTTCATCACATAGCTGTAGATTGATGTAAAAAAAAAAGGCAACCAACATTTTTTTTTCTCTGACAAAAATATAGACTAAAAATAAATGCTATAGTTTCTCAGCTATTTAATATAAACTCATAATATTTTACATTTTTGCACCAAATTGAATGAACAGTCTCAAGAATAAAAATTTGTGTAATCTTGTTGTTCTTCATCATAACATGGCTGTAGATTAGTGCAAAAAAGGTAGCCTCATTTTGTCTTTCTGACAGTGATATGGACTTAACAAAAACGCCATAGCTTCACAGCTGTTTAACATAAAATATTTTGCATTCTTGTACCAAACTGAATATAAAACAAATTTATAGAATTAAAAAAAAAAAACATTTGCGTAATCTTGTTTGAGTCATCATCATGTGGCTGTACACTGGTGCAGAATGGGCAACAAAAAATTCTTCTGATACCTGTATAATACATTTTTGTTTGTTAAAATAATCCTGGATGAGAGCTCTGCCTAACTGAAAAAAATTTCTGCTAATTCAGGGTTGTTTTGCCATTTTGCACCAAGAATTTCTATTACATTATGACTGAACTGTTTAACTAAAAAACAAAAACAAAAACCCACAAAAAGGATCTTTTCCCAAAAACACGCATTGTGGGAATGGCACCCTGCTAAACGTCGAGGATTGCGTTGTGAAACGATTTTCACTAAACTCAGTTTCTAGTAACAGAGGCATTTAACAATACACACCTGAAGCAAGTACATGAAACAGTTCACAAAAACTAATATAACATAATACACCTACCTCCAACTGCCATGCTGTAGGCTGAACGCCGACTTCCAGTTTTGACAAATTTTTTTTTTACCGCAGTTCATAAAAATTATCACATAGTTATCAAACTTTCAGAGATATCTTCACTTTCCGATTTAAAACACTCGAAACAATACTGCATCATAAATATTCTCTGAACTGTTCCACTGTGCCAGCCCAAACAATCAGCCGATTTATAAAAAAATGCGTCTAATGTGTAATTGACAAGGGAGTTCACACAAATTGTGGAAAATGTACTTTAAGCACTGATGAATTGTTTTACTTAAGTAATCCTAGAGAAATAAATGGACTAACGGCTTTAACTACATTTATGGCAATAGTTCAAAGTTACGATCACATGGGGTGCAGTCGTGGTAGTCAGGGGGTTAATACAATGTTCCCAGTGCTTACTCTTTGGTCATGTAAACAAGTCAGTTTACTTTGTTGAAATATTTTTTCCTGCTTGTATAAAATAGTGTTTTCATTTTTACTTTGTTGAAATATTTTTTCCTGCTTGTATAAAATAGTGTTTTCGTTGTTTTAATGATGCATATTCACACCCTTCTACGCTTTTGACTTTTACAGTTTGTATGATTGTTTTTATAATTTCTCTTAAATGTATATGACTAATGAATATCATTAATTTGCAGCATTATGCTTTCATTTATTGTGTCCAGAGCATCATTAACTACCGAAAGTAACATTACTTAATAGAACCACATAATAACCAATATTGGTTGCAGTTGCCTTTTAATGTTCTGGAGAGGGCATGCAACTTACTTTTCTTTAAATGTATCATTATATTCAAAAATATAATATTTACAGGGTGTCCTTTCAGTTTTGTTTGTAGAAAACATAGAAATTATGTGATAACCATTTCTTTTTATATAATACTCCCTACATGACTACCATTGTTTAAAAAAAAAATTCCTGCGCTGTCGAAGAACACATATATAACGACAGTTGGAGTAACAGCGTTAGTGGTTTGTTTATTTTTCCTAGATGTGGAAACTGATGGCAATGGCCAAAATAACTATATCAAAATCAAATGTGTTGCCACCTGGCAGGGCTGATCATGCTTCTCCATATCTTGCATTCTTTAACAGTGACACTTAGTTTGCTGACATCCTTCCCTGCCATGACAAAAGACTCTCAAGCACTTTCTTTCATCTACCTCTCTCCCAGCATGTTCTGGTTTTTCTCTTCTCATAATGTGGGCAGGAAAATAATGACTGACTTTTTCTGTTTTCTGTAAGTTATGTTCAGGTCATAGCCTTTTTCAAAACATCTAGATTACCCAGTTTAGCTGTTCAAGAAATTTTCAGTATTCTGTTAAACCCCCTTCTCCAAGGCTTCAAGGAATTTTTAGCCTTGTTACTGATTGACCAGGATTCGCAGCCAGATTTTAAAAACTGTTTCT